CCTGGTGTGCGGGCTGCTGGCAGCTTTGCCTCCGGCTGAGGGTGGCCAGGCGGAGCTTTCGGTTTCCGTGGCGGGGCTGCTGCTGCTTCTGAACGTGGGTGCAGCCGTGCAGGACGTTGCCCTCGACACACTAGCCATGCAGCTCCTGGAACCGGCGGAGCTGGGGCCTGGCAATACCGTGCAGGTGGTTGCGTACAAGCTGGGGTCGGTGCTGGCAGGTGGAGGGCTGCTGGCCCTGGTGCCCACCCTCTCCTGGTCCCAGCTGTTTGTGCTCCTGGCTGCCACCTACTGGCTGGCTGCTGCCCTGGCTTGGTCTACACCCGCCCTTCAACAATTGCCCTCCCCTCAGCCCTCAGAACTCCCCCCACACACCCTGCACCTTCTGCAGGACTTGCTAGCTGTGTCCGGGACCCTGTGGACCGCCGGCTTTGTGCTCACTTACAAGCTGGGTGAGTGAGGGCTTGAGTCAGGCGATAGCAGGGGTGGGGACCTCCAGGTGGGTCCCCAGGAACCCCTGGCAGGGCCATCCTCTTCCTGGGGTATGCCCAACAGTGGGGCTTTATGTTGTGCCACTGAGCTTCAGCCACAAGCCCTGGGTCCTGCTGATGCCCCTTCTACCATCAGCGCCAGAGGCAGGGTAGCAGCCGCTGGGGAGCATGACCAAGGTCCCAGGTGGAAAAGGGAGGTGGTTGTACTCCTACCCATGTTCTCCCCACAGGTGAGCAGGGTGCCAGCAGCCTGTTCCCACTCCTCTTGCTGGACCGAGGCCTCTCCGCCCCGGAGCTGGGGCTGTGGAACAGTGTGGGTGCCGTGGCCTGCTCCATTGCTGGCTCGTCCCTGGGTGGGGCCCTGCTGTCCGGACACCGGTGAGCCTTCTCAGCCTGTCCCACTCACCTGCTCACCCCCAATCTCCCCAAACCCCTGACCTGCCCAGTCTCCCCACCCCAGGAAGCTGCTTCCCCTGTTGAGGTCAGTACTTCAGTTCCGTCTTGGAGGCCTTGCCTGCCAGACCACTCTGCTCTTCTACTTGGACACCCCGTGGGCCAGGCTGGACCCTGGCACAGTCCTGAGAGGTGAGGGGCTGGGCATTGGGGATGGGGGAAGAACACTGCACATCCTGGATGCTGCTGACTTTGGTCCTCCCAGGGGCAGTCTTGCTGAGCCTGTGTCTGCAGCACTTCTTGGGGGGCCTGGTCACAACCGCCACCTTCACTCTGATGATGTGCTGCAGCCAGCTGGCACCCGGTGCCTTGCAGGTGAGGGGTCATGGCCAGGACACCAAGGGGATGCAGGGCTCAGGTCCAAGCAAGTCCTAACCGGCCCTCCCCTCCCCCCCGCAGGCCACACACTACAGCCTCCTGGCCACACTGGAGCTACTGGGGAAGCTGCTGCTGGGCACACTGGCTGGAGCCCTGGCCGACAGCCTGGGCCTGCACCTCTGTTTCTCGCTCTTCCTTGCTCTCTCAGCCATACCCATTCTGTACCTGAGCCTGGCACCCAGAGCCCTGGCCTGAGCTGGGTGGTAAGACTAGTCAGTAAAGCCAAGTGTGACCGACCGGCCTGCTGGTGTCTGTCTGGGATGTGTGGTGCTCAAGGCTCCCCAGACTGTGGCACCGCCCCCCCGAAAAGGAGGGTCCCTGCAACAACTCCAGCATCTTCTATTTTGTATTTTGGGGCCTCCTTGTGCCCACATCCGGGCAGTAGGCTTTATCCAAGGAGGTCACCCACTGTCCCAGCCACTGATAGCCCCTCATCTTGGGTCTTGCACCTGCCATTCTCCATGTGCCTGTTCACACCTGTGTCTGACATGGGGGACAGGCCTGCCTGCGGCCAGGTGTCAGCGGCCCCACAGCAGGATCTCCTCGGTGGCCAGCTTGATCAGGGCGTGGAAGTTCAGGTGCAGGTACTTCCTCCAGAAGCGCCGGTCCCGTCCATACACCTGGGCTGGAAAGCAGGGGCTTCCTGCGGTGGAATGGGGTACATGGCCCTGAGGACTGTCAACTGGATCCAGCCCCCTGCCCACCCGGTGGGGCTGAGCCGCCCAGGCCCTCACCGATGCCATGAAAGATGCGGGCCACAGCCCTGCCTGAGAACTGCTGCTCTGGCCACGAGGACAGGAAGTGGCGGACGTCCCTGCGGATCTGGTCCTCCCAGTCCTGGAGCTGAGGGTGGGAGCGTCTCAGCACACCGAGCTTCCAGGCCACCAAGCTCCACGGCGGAGGCTGGGCAGGAGGTGTGCACAGACGTCCGGCTGCCTGACCTGCCCAGGCCCAGGAGTGGCTAGCACTCACCTTGGCCTGTCCTGGTTCGGGGCCCTGTGCTGCCTCCTCACCCCCTGGCCCCTCTTCCTCAAAGTAGTGGCCGAGCAGGGCCTTGAGCCTGGTGCTGCGGTCATCGTCTGGCTTCTCCAAGCATGGCCCGCAGCTGGGGAAGGCTACGCTGGGGTGGGATGAGTTCGTCAGAGCCACCCCCTGGGGTGGGGGTGGGGGAACCACGCTCTGCCCGCCCACCCCTGCACCTGTGAAAGGCCCGGAACATAAGGCGCAGACAGGCCAGGGCCTCCCGCTCTCTGGCCTGCACTCGGTCATGAAGGAAGCCACAGATCTGGTCCTTTTCCTGGGCGGTCAGGTCTCCAGGGCTGTGCAGGTAGAAGGCCAGCTCGCTGAACTCCACCAGCACCCCTGTGCCCCGAGGCACACCTGCCAAAGAGCGTGTCAGATGGGCAGGCAGGTGGGCAGGCAGGTGGGCAGGCAGGGCCAAGGGTGGGGGCGCACCTTTCCTGGGCTCCGGGTTCCACTGCAGTTGGTGGAGGGCCTTCCGCACGGGGGCCAGCTCCCATCCCATGGAGTCCACCAGCTTGACCAAGTCAAACTCCACAGTGCTGCTTCCCCCACCTGTGTTCCCAGGCAGCTGCTGGGCCAAGCACGCAGCCAAGGGTACACACCTATGCCAGGGGAAGGTGTGAGTGATTGGTAGCCCAAGTCCTGTGTCCCTGTCACCATTCTGGGATAGGACGGGTGTTCACCTGCTGGCCAGGGCCTGGAGCTGGGTGGGGCCCCCAGGGCATCGCACGCAGCAGTGAGTGTAAGTGGGTGCCAGCAGCTCCAGCCAGTGCTGTGGGTGCAGCTCCAAGTAGCACAGAAGAGTCTCAATGACTGGGGGAAGAAGGGGCTCAGCGGACATGGGAATGTGAGGTGCCCCCCAACACCTGTCCCGGTTCCTCACCCTCCTCAGGCATGTCCAGAGCCTGCACTGTCGGCTGCACTGGGAGTGCCCGCTTGTGGCCCGGGCACCGGGCTGTTTGCTCATGGCTGGGTTGCTTGGAGGAGCCTCCCTCCTGTCTCTCGCCTCCCTCCTGCTCAGACTGCCGCCGGGCACAGGTGCAGGGCGGGAACGCGCGCTGCACCAGCTTCTTCACAGCAAGGAAGTCGATGGCGTTGGCATGCACGTGTCTGCGCAGCTCCCGCAGGTCCTCACCCTGCAGCAGGACGGCTGTGAGTGTGTGGCCGAGGCACTGGGGGGTGGGAGGGAGTTCGAGCTGGTGGGCACCAACCTGGGGCTGCAGGAAGAGGTGGCAGTGTGCGGGCTGCCCATCACGCCCAGCCCGGCCGACGGCCTGAATGTAGCTCTCAAAACTCGGGGGCAGCCCTAGGTGCAGAACAGCCCGCACATCTGGCCGGTCCAATCCCATCCCAAAGGCAACTGTGGCCACGACCACCCGCAACCGGCCCTCCATGAAGGCCCGCTGCACCCGCCGCCGCTCCCGGCTGCACATGCCAGCGTGGTAGGCTTCAGCCACAGCCTCCGGGGCCCGGCCTGCAGGAAAGACGCAGATGGTTGGTGGGCTGTCTGCATGGGAAAGGCTGTGGGGCACAGCCCTGCCCAGCCTCACCTCCAGGCCCGGGAGCCCTGGCCTCGGGCAAACAGGTACGCAGCAGAGCGGAGACCCGCTCAGTGTCCTCACGCCTGTTGCAGTAGATGATGACGGAGTCCAGGGTGCGGAAGCGGTCACCCTGCAGCAGTGTCACCAGAGCCTGGCGAGGGACAGTGGTCAGTGTGGACAGTCGGGAAACAAAGCCTCTACCGGGTGTGTGCATACCTACCTGGTCTGGGTCCCTGTCCATGGACACAGAAAGGTGCAGGTTTGCAGGGATGGTGACCGGTCCCCTGAGGACACCCTCCTTGGCTATGCCCAGGTGCTCGGCCACGTCGAGAGTGGTGCTGCGTGTGGCTGTGGCTGTGAGGCCCAGGAAGCAGCGCACGCCCAGGCTATCCCGCAGCACCTGTGCAGAGCGGGGTAGTAAGGATGCCCACTCCCCCCAGACCTACTCACCCGTATTCAGGACAAGGCTCACCTTGCAGACACGTAGATAGCAGGGTCTGAAGTTGTGGGACCACTGAGAGAGGCAGTGAGCTTCGTCAATACAGACAAAGGCCACTGGGGGCAGCTGAGTGAGGCAGGCAGGGCTCCCGGTCCCAGCTCCAACCAATGCCTCGGGTGACAGCATCAGCACGTGTACCTGGCCTGCCCGAGCCTGTGAACAGCAAGGTCAGGACCACTGCCCAGGGCCCCGCCTGTCGCCCCCAAGGGTCTTGCTCTGGGAAGCCCCTCACCCTCTGCAGGGCGGAGTCTCGCTGCTTCCTTGTCATGCCCGAGTGTACACAAGCCGCCTTCAGGCCTCGGGGCAGGCCAGACACCTGCAGACACAGGAGCCAGTCTGTTGAAGGCCATCCAGCCCCGGCCTCCCCCAAACGCCTCTCCAAGTCGCTCAGCGCAACAGTGACTGCTGTCTCCACCCCAAGTCTTAGGAGGAGAAAACACCCAGACCCTGGAACTGAGGGTTCGGAGCTGCCTCTGGGCCGGGGCTCAGGCCCTCGGAACAAACAGGCCTCACTGAGCATGTCTCCTTTTAGGGGTGGTTCTGGCCGCCATGTCCCTGCTGCCCTCAGGCCACTTCCAGGCTGAGGGCTGTGGACAGAGCTGGTGGGCCGAGAACTGTCGGGACCCCCACAGCTCCAGGATGCCGGTGGGGTGAGAAGCAGCAGCCCAAAGGGACAGCAAAGCCTGGGTGCCGGGGCGTGCCTTCCACCCACACCTGAGGGTCCTGTGTGTACTTGGCTGCTGTGCTGCTGGGCCTGTGCACACACCTGGTCGTCCATGAGGGACAGGAGAGGAGAGATGACCAGCGTGAGACAGGGGCTTCGCTGGGCGTAGAGCAGCGCAGGGAGTTGGTAGCACAGGGACTTGCCGGCACCGGTGGGCAGCACCAGCAGTGTGGACATGCCTGGACGGGAGCCAGGTCAGCAGTGAGACTCTGCAGCCTGGCCTCAGCCCCGCCTCACTCCCCCGGCAGCCATGCTCACCAGACAGGATTCGCATGACTGCGTGCTCCTGCCCAGGGCGGAAGGCTCGGTGCCCCAGCTGCTCCAGGGCCTGCAACACCTCAACTGGCGTCGCTGTGTACACAGATGTTGGGTCAGCATGGCCGAGTCGCCTCCACCTTTCGGTAAAGGTCCTAGGCTGGTAGGCATCTGCTCACCTGCCACCTGCCCCAAGGGACCCGGCAGGTAGAGTGGTGGCACAGCTGGGGATGGGCAGGGTTCCCCAGGCACAGGTGCCTCCATGGGCACTAGCAGCTCAGACCCAGCAGGACCTGTATCTTCCTCACCTGTGGGGGGTGGACAGGAGAGGGTGTTATGGGAGCTCCAGGCTGGTCTGGCGTCATTCTAGCAAGAAGGTGGCTTCCACTCACCACGGAGCTGGCTGCAGGCAGCGTGTGTCCTCTGAGCTACTGCCGCTAACGTGGGCAGCATCTGCCTGTCATCTTCGTCTTCGCCACCCTCCTCCTTGGGGACCCGGGTAGGTTTGGGGCCTGGGGTACGGAGTTAGGAGGGCTTTTTGCTTCAGTCAGACCCCAAAGAGCACAACACCCTCTCCGAGCAGTGTTGGCCCAACACACCAGCACAGAAGCCTCACCTGGTCTGGGGCACTGGGATGCCCAGTGGCCGAGCTGCCCACACCGGAAGCAAGAATCCTTGACTGGGGCATTGGGCTGACCACCCCCCAAATGTTCCGCCTTCTTCTTCCATTTCTGCTTCCATGCCTGGGGTGGGGCACAAAGGAGGGTCACAAGGCGAGAGGCAGGAGGGGTGAGGGGAGTGCCTCCCACAACCTCACCTGCTTTCGGAGGAGTCTGCCACGCAGGGCTGGGCCCCGAACATAGCGTTTCTGCTTCAGGTTGAGCCGAACGTAATTACCCCTGTCCCGGACAGCGGGCCTACAAGGGACATACAGGTGTGCCTTGCCCACAGCAGCCCCACCTTGGCCCAACTCAAGGGGACCCTGCTGGGAGGCTGCATTGCATTACCTGGGGGCTGAGGGGCCGGTGAGGAGCTGCGCCTGCAGGGGCTCCCCTGGACACTCCTCTGCATGCAGTACAGCCCCAGCTGCCTCTGGCAGGGAGCCTTCTTGGCTGCTGTGCTGAGGGGCCTGTGCAGCAGCCGTCCCCTTTCGCTCCCCACTCTTTCTCCGCTTCTTGTCTTGACTGCTGCCCAG